TGATTTGGCTGAAAGAAGCAACAGTTTCACCAAGATGCTTCACTATTTGGATATATTATTCCAGCTCCCATGGAGTAGTAAATTAGGGACCCAACAGATTGATGTCTGCAAGTGTTTTAGACCGTGTTCAGAGAGGCCTATGTTCTCCACCATTGTCTCTCTTACGCATTGCATATCACTAAATTAGTTGCCACCAACTCTTACTGGTAATATTCAATATTTTTCTCGTTGGAGAAGCTTTGAATTAAAGATGTAACCTTCTGGTCTTGCCTGAAAACCACACTGGACTTTTGAGCGAAATGCCCCAAATTAATGGTTGACAGCAAAGATTATAGTGGATCCATACTTAATGTATATAATAGACTGATCAGCTCTAGTGGCTCAGCAGGTGTTAGCAACGCATGACCCGCATGCTGAGTATGCCCTCTTGTATCCAGTTTAAAGAACCCCAAAATCAGATTACCAAATTTCAGAAGTAAAATATTGGTGGCTTTTAAATTTCGTTTTCAAAATTAACAGTGGGCATGAGAGGAAGATTCTATTGGGAGACACCTCCAAATCCCATCCTTCAAGTCTTTTCCAAAACCTCCCAAATGGTTGCAAATTCCAATCTCTGTTTTGCTATTCTTTTCCCCCCTCCAGGACTTTAGGGGTGGGATTTAGAACAGGAAACATCTGAGAGTCACCCACCTCCTTAAAATCTCCCACCTCTCAAATGGCTTGAAATCATTGTTTTGTTGGTGATATTGGAACACTTTTCAGGATTTGGAGTTTTTGTTGGGAATGGGAGCACGTCTACTTCCCAGAGGATTCCTGCTTCAATTCTATCCTCAAGCCAATAACCCAGCCCCTAAAACTAAACTGAGAAAGGAGATTATTTTATCTAATCCAGGTACACCATGTCATCACTGAATAATTTTCTAAAAAGGCAAATATATGTGGTCCCTGATCCCTAAATGTTTCCCATCCCTGCAGTATGGGACTCGCTTATTCTAAAGACCAGCTCACCAGTTACCAGCCATGCAATTGTCTAAGAAACACATGTGCATAGTGCACCACCAGGGATAGAAAGCCTTTTCGATATGTAATATTTTTAATTGCAATCCTTCAGTTCTTGCAGAAGTCATAGCTTCATAGGGCTGAAAGAGATCTCGGTCAGGGGTGGATTCCGGCAATCACTACCGATGGTTCGCTTCTGGGCACTTGATGTGCGCATGCGCAGCACAATAAAAATTGCTCTGTACATGCGCAGAAGCAAAAAACAAGATGGTGGTGCCTATGGTGCCGCCCAGAGAACCGGTTCAGGGGAGTGGCAGGCCTGGGTCGCTGCCAGTTCCAGTGACCCAGGCTGCCAAACCACTACCGGTTCGGCCAAACCAGTCCGAATTGGCAGGAAACCACCACTGATCTCGGTGTTCTTTGAGCATTAACCACTTACCCAGTGCAGGAATCCTCATACCATCTCAGACAAATGGCCGTGCAAACGTTTCTTGAAAATCTTCAGTGATGGAATACCTACAACTGCAGGTAGACTGTGTCATTGCCTAATAGCTCTCACTCTGAGTTCTCCAAGAACTGGGAAAAAGTGATGCAATCCTGTAAAGCACAACAGTTGCAACACACAGGTTGGCCCTCAGTTATTGGTTGTTCAGACTTCTGCAGCAGTATCTGTCAACTGCAATACAGATTGTGGCTTGCACATTCCCAAAGTACTAGTATGATGCCACAGACTAACTTGAAACATCTTGTAGATGGAATCTCATACCTATAATGGATGGAGAACATGGAATTGAGGATTGTCTCCATTGATTATGGGCATTTCTACAGGTTCAGCAGTTTGATTCAGTTCCTTCTACTAGCAAAAGTCCAAAACATAGTTTTAAACTGCTGTAATTTCTATTTACCGTAATTGTCCATATTTCCTGTTCCTAATATCAGCCAAATGCAGAAGGTCCTAAGATACCACAAAAAAAAAATACAGCAAATGTTTGTACAGAATTTTGGAAAAAACAAAGTCTGAAAGTGTGCCTTTCCCTTAGGACAGGAAAAAGGTGGTTAACAGAATTGTTTTCACTATGGTAAGGGAGCATATTCCAATCATTAAAGTACAGCATTTATGAGAATAAATCCTGGAGCTATGAAATGGAAACATCAGCTTTTCATATTTACTTCATAGCAAATAATTGTGCCATCACTATGCAAGGATGCTGTACAATTGGCATAGTATGAGGCTTAACGCCATATCAACAGTTTTAATCTTCTACCTTGGTGTTGCTAACATATGTTTGACAGCTGCATTTCCAGAGGTGTGTTTGCCAGCTAAGGAATAAAAACGATTTACTTTCATTAATAAGGTGGTTAAATTTAACAGGTCACTGGAAATTGAGTGGTTTGGGATTACAGAAAATATAATTTGAAGCCAAAATTTGCTATAGTTTATTTTCCATGGAAGTTATTCTAGATATTGTATAAAGAGCCGAGGTGGCGCAGTGGTTAGAGTGCAGTACTGCAGGCCACTACAGCTGACTGTTATCTGCAGTTCAGCAGTTCTAATCTCACCGGCTCAAGGTTAACTCAGCCTTCCATCCTTCCGAGGTAGGTGAAATGAGGACCCAGACTGTGGGGGCGATATGCTGACTCTGTAAACCGCTTAGAGAGGGCTGAAAGCCCTATGAAGCGGTATATAAGTCTAACTGCTATTGCTATTGCTATTGCTATTGCTATG